TACACACACACACACACACACACACACATACATGCAACAGCAACAACAAATAGAAACCGGCAAAGAGCGCAGATGTAAGGTTGATGTTCCACACCCAGTTCTCACCGCCCATCTTCTTGAACATACAGGCTGCCACATACCCTGAGATGCCTGGGTAACATTAGTTTCGTTGCACACATAAACAGTCACACAAACACACAGACAAAAACGCAGACGGATGGACAAAAACACAGAGAGACAGACAGACAGACAAGAACCCAGACAGACAACTAACAAAAAGAGCATAGAAAATGATAGAGTCAACATTATTGTGCAAAAACCCAGACAGACGAACAAAAAACAGACAGACAGACAAAACCTCAGTCAGACAACTAACAAGACGTAAGAACATAAAAGATGAGAGACAGACGGACAGACAACTAACAAGACGTAAGAATTTAAAGAATGATAGAGACAGACGGATCAAAACCCAGACAGGCAGATAAACAAAAACCCAGACTGGCAGACAATAACCCAGACAGACAGACAATAGACAAGACAGACAGAGAGACAACCAACAAGACGTAAGGGCATAGAGAATGATAGAGGCAGCATTGATGGAGCCATGCCTGTGCACGTTGAACAGACCCAGCAAAGCCATCATCAGTATGGCTGTTGCTATTATCAGGAACTGGCAACCAACACCTGTGTGTGTGTGCGTGTGTGTGTATGTGCGTGTACTTGTGTGTGTGTGTGTGTGTGTGTGTGTTGGTAAATAATAGACCATTAAACAATACATTATGAAAAAATTTTCTCAAAAAAATAAAAACCTGAATCCATAGTAATGGAACACAAACAAACAAACGAACGAACGAACAGACGAACCCAGTATAGCACAGAAGAGACTTTTATAAGCAGGGAATCTGAACACATCAGTATGTATAATTTTCCATCCGTTGTCGTCATCAGCGTCCAGGTTGTCATCATCTTCCAGGTTGTATCTGGCGAAATCCTTCTTCAATATGCGCGTCTGCATGATTGGTCAATTGATTGGCTGATTGGTTGACTTGTCAGTTGGTTGGTTGTTTGATTGATTGAATGATTTGTTTGTCGGTTGGTTGGTTGGTTAGTTAGCTGGTTAGTTGAGTAATTTGTTGATTGATTAAACGAATCATTGTTGACTGGTTGATCGATTAGTGGGCTGGTAAAAATTTTAATAGATGGGTAAAATGATTGACAAGTTGTCTGATTGGTTAGTCCAATCGACCAAACAACACGAAATAACCAAAAACTACTAAAATGATGATAACAACAAGCTAAACAACAAATAAACGAACGAACGAACAACATCAACAAACCATGATGATGACCACAAATCCAATAAGTAAAAAGACAAGGATCATGGAATTTATGATGGAGAGCCAATGAATCTGATCAATAAATATGATAATAAAAGCGATAATAATAATAATAATCAATAATAATAATCAATAATAATAAATAATAATAATAATAATAGGGAGCAAACTTCAAGTGTGACAGGGAAAAACCCACTCTCCTTCATCTTCTTCATTCGTTCGTCTCTCTGAAGACTGAAGGAATGAAGAAAAAAATTTTATAAGTGATGGAATAGAAACAAATTTATAATTATCAATGAATGAATGAATGAAACAATTAAGTCAATAATTGATTCAATTAAGTAATTAAAAGTTAACTCCAGAGTTAAGAGTTAATGATGGTTAATAGCAATCCAGCTTGCTGGGGTTCACAATTTAAAAATGGCAATACAGGCAGAGATTTTGTAATAAAATGAATGCAATAAAAACGTCTAACCAAATGCTAACCAATCAATCACTCTCTTGATCAATCACCCAATTGATCAATCAATAAACCAGCCAACCAACCAACCAATCAGCAAAATGGTCAGTCAGCCAGCCAACCAACCAATCAGTCAATCAATCAACTAACTTAGACATGGTCCACTTAACTGAGTAAGTGAAGTTGACAACGAGTGGGAACTGGCTGACGTCATCCAGCTTAATCTGCTTTCCTTCCTCATCACTCGTTGATATGTTCATATATATGATCTTTGGTTATTTTTTTAACAGGCATTCAAAACATTATCATTATTATTATTATTATTGATGTTGTTATCATCATCATACTAATCACCACAACAAACCTCGTCATTGTTAAACTCAAAGTAGAAATAATGATGAAGGTAGAGCTTGAGTTCGTGCGTATGGGGTACTATACCCCCCTCCAGAAGGTGCCCAATAAAACCTCGAGCTGGTATCTCATCTGAGGTATTTTGTATTTGTATTGTATATTATTAATGATGTAGTGGTGGTGTAATGGGTAAGGCGCCTGGCTCTTCCCTGGCAGTGACAGGGTTAGAATGCAAAAAACTCCAAGTTTATCAGATGCAATGTGTATGTGTGATGCATGAATTTATGTGTATTCACATGCAGTGTGTGTGTGTGTATGTATGTGTGCGTGTCCGTTGTTTTTAACACCACTCTGAGAATCAATAGCAATAAAAAAAATAAATAATGGAGTATGGAGTAGATTAGTATTGATTAAGTTGGACACACACACACATGCATGTGTGTGTGTTTGTGTGCGTGTGTGTGGATAGTTTTAATAGGAAGACAAAAACAGAAACCAAATAATAATAACACATAAGAAAAACAGCATACACATACCAACTACAAATTCAAAAAAGTAGAGGTCTTCTATGGCATCTTTTAGCTTCGTAACATCGGACTCGGTCAGTTTTAGTGTACACAATGTCCTTAACTTGTCACTTTCTACAATTTCATAGAAAATATATTACTAATTCACCACTTAACCAAACCAACCAGCCAACCAACTGACCAACCAAACCAACCAACCAAACCAAACCAACCAGCCAACCAACTGACCAACCAAAACCAACTAGCCAATCAAACCAAACCAACCTTGAAAGTTGATCTTATAATCAGAGTAAGCCATCCTATCTCCATCCAGTAATTCACTCAGTGACAATTCTTTCTGTTTTACCTATGTATATGAATGAATGAATGAAGGATGGACAGATTGAATAATGAGTCACTAATTGAGCATATAAATAAATGTGTGGTTGCTTGAATAAGTATTCATATTTTAATTATATATATTATTTGTTTATAAATCTTTATATTATAATAATAATTTAATTATATACAGTAAATACTTATAAGATATATTTTTTAAATAAAATAATTTCAAAAAGAAAAAATAAAAAAAATAGCAATAATAAAAACCTCGTGGGGCCTGCATAGCGGCAGCTGGTAGTAGTGGTAAGTTTCGTGAGGATTGTAGTATGGACCTACCTTGTTGGCAAAAACTACTACCTGTATTTTTTCGTAATCAGTAATTCAATCAAAATCACCGAAATAAATAGTGACATTTTAATTAAATTTTATTTAATAATTTTACCTGATCGCCTTTTTTATATTTTACGGCGCGTGCGCCACCTAGAACTAAAAATATGACAGCAAAAATCAATCTGGCAACGGCCATTTTAGTTTATTGACGTTTAAAAAAGAAGTAGACTTAAAAGTGGACTTCTATTTTTCTAAATAAAAAATGCAAATGTTGACTTTTTAGTGAATAGTTTAATTATTTTGTAATTATACTATATTTTTTTTGAAATTATATACATATAATTGTATAACAAACATTTTAATTAAAATCAAATGTTTAAAAATATATTTTTCAGTTAAATTAACTTATAGTTTTACAAGCTTCACTTTTAAATAATTAGTGCTTTAAATAAATTTTAATTCTCTAACTAAATTATAAATTTTTGACGAAAAAAATGGAGCTTCAGGATATTTTTTATGACAAGTCTGAATACATTGAAACTGTTAGAATTTTTTTTTTTCAAATTAAATTTGATTTGTATGAAAAAACTTCTGTCATTCCTGCCTACACCTTGCTCTGCTTTTCCATTTATTTTTCATTTTTTATTTAGTAAGTAAGAAAGAAAGTTTTAGTAAATCGGTTTGATAGGGTAGACAGACGATATAACTATACATAATCACGTTGGGGCCAACATTTTAGTGGTTAGTGAGTCATATCATTGGATTTCAGACAGGATTAGAGAGCTAATTAAAATTGAAAATATGTCCAATTAGAAATCATAGTTTAAAGTTCAAACTTATATCAAAAGTAAAATAAATAATAAACAAAGACTAGTGAACTTGAATAATTTCATGATATTAAAAACCTTTGGTTAAACCTTAAATGATTCTAATGCTTAATTTAATCTTCAAATAAATTTATTCTAAATGGCTTTCTAAATCTAGTAAAGTACTGCCTTTTATATTGACGTATTGTGAATATAAAAGATATAATTATTTAATTATAATACTAATTACTGGCCCAATTACAATACTAATTAGTAGTTATGAATATTAAAAATATAATTATAATACTAATTACTGGTCCAACCAATCAGGCTTCGGGAAATAAGGTCAGTCGACAGTCGATCCTCTGCGGTAGTCAGAACATTGTTCTTAATGGAAAGGTGTCATATATTTGTCATTTCTTGGGTGGAATAAATGACATTTTTTTAATGATTTTATTATATATTTAATTATTTATTTACACATGTGTATTTGTGTATGTATGCGTGGTGCAGGGTGTGCATTTACAATGATACTTAATTTTCTCCTCTTAATCTCTCTTTCTATCTTTTTCTCTCTTTTTTTTCTCTCTTTCTCTCTCTCTCTCTCTCTCTCTCTCTCTTTTTCTCTCTCTTCAAGTACATAGATATACAATATATTTACTTGCCTGTGTGTATAGTGTGTTTATGTGTTAGTAGTGTGTCTATGTTTGTGCGCGCGTGTGTGTGTGTTTATCACACACAGACACACGCACATATTTTCTTCCCATCAACCAACAGACGATAATAATGAACAACTGCATAATCAGAGGTGACTTGGCGAATGTTCGCATCGGCAAGCACTGTATTGTTGGGTTGAGGACTGTTGTCAGGCCCCCCTTCAAGAAATTTAGTAAAGGGTGTGTTTGTGTGTGCGTGTGTGTTTGTGTGTGTGTATTTGTGAGTGTGTGTTTCTGTGTGTTTTTGTGTATGTATGTATGTATTTTTGAATATTGAGAAGCAAATAAAATTTGTTTCGTTTCGTGTGTGTTTACGCTTGTGTATTTTTTAGCGTGGCATTTTTCCCACTGCAAATTGGAGATAACGTTATCATTGAGGAAGACTCTGTGATCAATGCTGCCCATATTGGTTCGTTCGTTCACATTGGGAAGAACTGCGTCATTGTTAGTTTTTTGGGTGTTTGTTTGTTTGTTTGTTTGGTGATTTGCTTGCTTGTTTGTTTGTTTGTGTAGTTTTTCGTTTATTTGTTTGTTTGCAATTGCGTTTGTTTGTTTGGTGGTTTGGTTATTTGCTTGTTTGGTTGATTGCTTGTGTGTTTGTTCGGTTATCTGTTTGTATACAACTCTGATTGTTTGTATGTTTTGTTTGTTTGTGTATTTATTCGATTATCTGTTTGTATACAACTCTGATTGTTTGTATGTTTTGTTTGTTTGTGTATTTATTCGATTATCTGTTTGTATACAACTCTGATTGTTTGTATGTTTTGTTTGTTTGTGTATTTATTCGATTATCTGTTTGTATGCAACTGTGTTTGTTTTAATGTTTTGTTTGTTTGTTTGTTTGTATGTTTGTATGTTTTGTCACAAATACGACCTCATGTCATCGTTATCATCATCATCATCATCATCGTCAGCGATATCATCATCATCACCGATGATGACATCATCATAAAAAATGACGTCATCATCGCCAGGGTCGTCGTTGCGTGTTGAAGGACTGTTGCGCCATAGCGGACAACACGGTCCTGCCACCGGAAACAGTCGTCCCACCGTTCACTCTCTACTCCGGAAATCCGGGTTTTTGACCTGCTTTTTGTTTTCAGTTTTGTTATCTTTTTTTTATGAGGTTTTTCGTCACTTTGTGTGTGTGTGTGTGTGTGTGTGTATGTGTGTATGTGTGTGTGTGTGTGCGTGCGTGTGTGTGTGTGCACTTAATAAATAAATATATTAGCGGTTGTGGCTTGGCTTACTTTGTTGCTTATTATTTCGTTCAACTTTTCCTCGTTTGGTTTATTTTATTTAAAGAAATTCATCCTTCAAACTGTTTCATTTTTTTCAAAAAAGGAATAAATTATTAAAATTAGATCCTTGTCCTTTTATGGCGTAGTGGTTTAGACACCTGGCCTTGACCTGGCCTATCACGCCTCTAACATGCAAACTGCGTGATATGCAGTGCTTCTAAAACACTTGGTCACAATGAAGTATTTAGATAGTATTTAGATACCGTCTACAAGTACTTGAAAGGTATGTTAAGGGCTAAGCCGTCCTTATTTGATGTATTTTACTTGGTTAATGGTAAGATATTAACGTACTCAGTAAACTGGTTACAAATTTTTTCGTTTTTATCATTTTATCAAATGAGTGGATTGAAGTTTTGAAGGATTGAAATGAGTGGATTGAAGTTCTGAAGGATTGAAATGAGTGGATTGAAGTGAGTGGATTGAAGGATTGAAGTGAGTGGATAGAAGTTTTGAAGGATTGATGTGAGTGGATTGTGTGCGCGGTTTGATTGTACTGCACTTTAAAAGATATATGATGATTTACAATGCAGCTTTTTTGTCGTTAAATATCATTAATATCATTTTTAGTATCATTCTAAAGTAATTAGATGCCGTCTAGATACTGCTGCTTAAATGATCCTTTTAAATATCTCTTAAGTACTGGAGTAAGTATTTAGTTATTATTTGTGTGTGCGTGCGTGTGTGTGTGCGTGTGTGTGCTTTCAATATGTACTCTCAACACCAAGCTGGTTATACGTTGAAACAGGTGTATTTACATGCATTGCGTGCGTGTGTGTGTGTGTGTGCGTGAGTGCGCGCGCGTGTGTGTGTATGTGCGTGTGTGTGTGTGCGTGTGTGTGCCACCATACCTCAAAAAGAGGAAAAAGTTTAGAAAAAAGTATAATCGATAAATGACAAAATTTTAAATTTATGATAAATGAAAAAAATACACACAAACATACATACATGCATACATACAAACAAACAAACAAACATACATACATACATACATACATACATACATACATACATACATACATACATAGATTAAAGCTGAACCCGGATATGATTATTACTTCCCTATAGCTCAAATCAATTATGGGTTCATACATACATACATACATACATGCATACATACATACATACATACATACATACATACATACATACATACATACATACATACATACATACATACATTTGTTGTACACGTCAGACATCACCAATGATTTTCAGGTACTGATCACCGGCCCTCCAAGTTCATTCAAGTTTGAAGTTGACAGACCTATCAGGTGTTTATCAGAGATGTTTCGTTGGATGTCATCAAACTCGCTAAAGCTAAACGAATGCAAAACTCAGTTGCTTCCAGTCGGAACATGGCAGCAATTGACGAAGAGTGATTTCAGCTCTGATATACCATTTATCAACATAGCCTCCAACTCGGGTGTTCTGCCGGATAGCAAATTTTCAATGAAGAACTACGTCAAAATGAATTGTGTCTCGAGTGTTATCTACCTCAGGAGCATGTATCGAATCAGGCAATCACTAGATAGACCAAAAAGATTGGAAACGCTGGTCCATGACCTCGATACATTTCATTTAGATTATTGCAACGGCTTGTTTTATAAACTACCAGACACTTCAGTCAGTAAAAACCAAAGCTGCGAAACTTGCTATTGGTGGCTTATGATTTGATCACGTGACACCTATCTCGAACGAGCTTCACTGGCTGACGATAAATGGATGATAGAGAGGAATGTCTGGCAATAAAAAAAGGATGGATGGTTCTCAAAATTGCAGTTTTTACGTTCAAATCATTGAATGGTATGTCACTAGAATTTATGACAAGCCAGTTCTTCAAAACGTTAGAGCTTGTGAAACAGTTTTGATTAGCGCTAACAAATTGTTCTTAATAATAATATGTTAACATGTATGTGTGTGTTTGTTTATGAGTGTGTGTGTAAGTTTGTGTGTGTGTGTGTGTGTGT